TGCAAAAAAGAAATACTCTTACATTATACAAAATAATTTTACAATCGTAAATTATTTGATTAGGTAACATAAAAATTAGCAATATATTCAAACAGAATATTAATAATTAATGAAAATAAAAAAGGGGCTAAACTTAGGCATCTTATACAGTTTATTAGATAATTTTAAATAATCTAATTAAATTTGACTCCAAAAAAAATTTAATTGATGTGCTTNAATAATCTAATTAAATTTGACTCCAAAAAAAATTTAATTGATGTGCTTATTTAGGTATTGAAAATAAATATTTGGGTGAAAAAAAAATATGTCCGTTTGAAAAAGGTATCACAAGAAAAGCTGCTAAAATTGGTGACATAGAAACATTAAAACTAGCTTACGAGAGTAATTGTGAATGGGATGAATATACGACTATTGAAGCTGCTGCAAATGGACATTTCGAATGTTTAAAATATGCACATGAAAATGGCTGTGGCTGGGATGAAGAAACAACTAGAGACGCTGCTGCAAAGGGACATTTTGAATGTTTAAAATATGCACATGAAAATGGATGTCCATGGGATGTAAGCACAGCGATATATGCTGCAACAAATGGGCATTTAAAATGTTTAATTTATGCACATAAAAATGGCTGTAGATGGAATATAGAAACAATAATAAACGCTGCTTTGAATGGACATTATGAATGTTTAAAATATGCACATGAAAATGGTTGCCACTGGATTAAAGATATATCTAAATATGCTGTTATAGGAGGTAATTTAGATTGTTTAAAATATGCACATGAAATTGGATGTTCATGGGATGAAAGCATAACGATAGCAGCTGCAACATATGGGCGTTTAGAATGTTTAATCTATGCACATAAAATTGGGTGTCATTGGAATGCAGAAACAACAAGAAACGCTGCTTTAAATGACACTATGAATGTCTAAAATACGCACATGAAAATGGATGCCACTAGAATAATGACGTAACTACATATTCTGTTATAGGAGGTAATTTAGATTGTTTAAAATTTGCTCACGAAAGTGGATGTCCATTAGATGATGGCATAACTATAGAGGCTACTGTAAGAGGTAATCTAGACATTTTAAAATATGCACATAAAAATGGATGTCCATTAGATGATAAGATAACTACTGTGGCTATTGAAAAAGGTTATTTTGAAATTTTAAAATATGTACATAAAAATGGATTTCCATGGCATAAAAGAACAACAAAAGTAGCTGCAAGTTATGGTAATTTAGAATTTTTAAAATATGCTCATGAAAACGATTGCAAATGGTATGAAGGTACAATAGTTACAGCAGCCATGAATGATAATTTAGAAATTTTAAAATATGCACATAAAAATGGATGTTCATGGGATTATGACACAACTAGAGCTTCTGCAGCAAGTGGTTGCTTGGACTGTTTAAAGTATGCTCATGAAAAGGAGTGTCCATGGCATGAAGCAACATTAAATACAGCTGCCGCGCATGGTAATTTAGATTGCTTAAAATATGCATATGAACATGGATATAATTGGATAGTTGGTACGACGAGAGGGGCTGCTGCAAATGGACGTTTAGACTGCTTGAAATATGCTATTGAAAATGGTTGTGAATGTGATGAAGGCACAACAAGGGAAGCTGCTGCAAGTGGTTGTATCGACTGTTTGATATTTGCTCATAAAAATGGATATAAATGGGATGTAGGAACAAAGAGCGCCGCTGCTGCAAATGGTCATTTAGACTGCCTAAAATATGTTCATGAAAATGGATGTGAGTGGGATGAAATTTTTTTTTTTTTTGTGGCTTTTGAGTTTAATATTTTTAATATTTTTTAGTTTTTTTTAAAATTAATAATATTTTTAATATAGTTTTAATTTTACTTAATTAATTAGCCACAAGTGATCAATTTTTATTATAAACTTATTACAAATTATTTTATTACAAAAAAATAATAATATTTACACTTTATTAAAAAAAAAAATGATTGGTCTCGTAATTCAATACATGAATAGAGACCCTTTTTATTTGTCTTCCTATCTTAATGATGTTCGGTTAGAAAATTTTTTTTTTAATCTATTATGTAAAACCCATTAAAAACTAAAAAAATTATCATACATTATCTTGTTTTCGATATATATTCTTATTCGTTCATTAAATTTTTTTGTTTATAATTATTAGTTAAATAATATCCAAGCATACTTCCCGGGTGTCCATGTTGTCTCTATGATGTTAAAAAATTCCGATCTTCTCGATTTTTAATTAATTCCAAAGCTCTAACTAACGGTATATCAAAAATATCCCTCTATAAATTAGGAGCCTTCCACCAAAAATTACTACTTCCTCTTCTATCAATTTTGAACTTTCGTTTATATCATGTTTGATTTTACTTATGTTAAAAAAAAGCACCGATATTACTTGTTTTATTAATGATAGTTAACTACCAATGATGAATTTTGAAATTACATTTTGACACCTCTTTAAATATGAGAAAATATTTTATCGATATTGGAGTATGTACATATTTACAATCTATACAACAAAATGGTACAATAAGTAAATTTGGTTTAAATTGATAATTAAAATAACATGAACTATTATGATTGGGAAATGACTCGTTAGTCACACCTCTAGCATGCTGTTTAAGTTAGTCTTTAGTTATTTAGTAGATCTCTATTCCATTGTCGTTTTAGTCTGCGAGGAGGGTTTGAGGGTAAAGTATTTGTTGACATTTTATTAATTAGCGGGTTTCTATGTGATAATAAATTTTGATGAAATCGTTTGTAGTACATTACTGCAAGTTCTTTTACGTTTTGTATTTGTAGGTCTTTATGTAAATTTACGTTTGTTATATACCATGGGCATTTGGTAATAAGTCTGAGTGCTATTGATTGAAACGATTGAATTGGCCTTATATTTGTTGGTTTTGCAGGACCCCAGATTTGGATTCCATAAGACCAAACTGGACGTATTATAGATTTGTACAGTAAAAGTTTTGTTTTGAGTTGGAGTTTTGAAGTAAGGAGAGGACGTAGAAGGTGTAGTCTGTTTCTTGCACTTTTTCTTTTTTCTTTTAGATGGGGGCCCCACGTCAATCGTTTGTCAAGTGTAATTCCTAGGTATTTGATCTCTTCTTTTATAGGTATGGGAATATTGTTCATAATAATTTGAGGACATTCTTGTGGTTTGAAATTTAGAGTGAAGGTGATTTGAGCAGATTTATCTTCATTGATTTTTACTCGCCATTTTTTTGCCCATAAGTCAATAAGGTTGGCATGATATTGTAGTGAAAGACTGGCTTCGATTGGATCATTATTAATTGATAGTACAGCTGTATCGTCTGCGTATGTGGCTAAAATTGTTTTATCCGTTTGAGGGATATCGGCAGTGAATGCATTATAAAGGTCTGGGGATAAATCACTTCCTTGAGGTACACCTGCATTTATTTTTTGGTATGATGAGAATTCATTTCCTTGGCGAACGACAAAGTGTCTGTTTTCCAAATATGATTTTATTATGAGAAAATATGGAGCTGGTAAATAGTGTTTTAATTTGAATAGTAATCCTTCGTGCCAGACCCTATCGAAGGCCTGTGCTACATCCAAAAATAGACCGGTACAATAATGTTTATTTTCAAGTGTTGTTGCAATTTCATCAGTTAATCGGTGTATTTGATGTATTGTTGAATGTCTGTTACGAAACCCAAACTGACTATCTGGTACAATATTATGTGATGATAGAATAGGACGTAGTCTTCTGAGTAATATTTTTTCAAAAAGTTTACCTAATACTGGTAATAAACTTATTGGTCTGTAAGACGTAGAAAGATGTTTTGGTTTGTTTGGCTTTGGTATTAAAATAATAGTTGCAAATTTCCAGATTATCGGAAAATATGATAGTCTTAGCATCGCATTGTAAATGTAGGTTAACAAAATCATGGTTTTTTGTGATACATTTTTTAGAATTTTATTGGTAATTAGATCATAACCGGGTGCTTTCCCTGAAGGAAGTTTTTTTATTAAATATTCGACTTCGCCTGGAGTTGTATATTTGGCTGGTAAAGCCATTGGTAGTGGACATGTTAAGAAGGATTTTATTTCTTCATTGAAATTATTGTCAGAGTATAAATTAGTATTTGGAATGAATGTTTTTGCCAATTGTTCCGCAAAAATGTTGGCTTTGTCTTGGTCCGTTATAGCTAAGGTGCCATTTTCTTGACGAATTGGTGGAATATTTTCTTTTTTTTTTGTGAGCCTTTTAGTTGCTCTCCAGAGAGAACCATTGTTTTGATTCAAAGAGTTTAGGTATAGTTTATACTGATCTGCTTTGTAGACAGATAGTTTCTTTTTTAAAGCATTTGTTAGTCTATTGAGATACTGTTTGTGGCTTGGTAGTCTAGTATTATGCCATTTAGTTCTGGCTCGCCTTTTTTCAATAATTAATTTTTGAATAGTTAAAGGTAATTTTTCCTGGTAATTAGTTAACTGATAGTTGGAGTGTTT